ATAATAATAATAATAATAATTGCTTACACTTATATAGTGCTTTTTCTGGACACTCCACTCTAAATACACTAAATCAATAATACACTTAGCCAACAGAACAAAAAATTCTCAGGCACTTCAGTCTGAGAGAAAGTAAATTTTCCTTTTAAAAAAGAACTTAAGGCTAAAGGAAAAATAATGGGACCACCTTGCTATGTCAAACAGGAATGCCTACCTGTTAATTAATCACCAGGAAAATTGTTTTCCAAAGGGCAAGCAGGTTGGAAAGTTCACATCTTTAGTTAAAATGCCAACCTGTGCTGCCAAAGACTCATCCTGACATACAGATTTGTCACAGCGTTGTGCTTCCGAGGTGCTGAGACTGTGATGGATTGGGAGAAAAAAGGTCAGGACACAGGAGTAAGGGCCTGGACACCTCAACTTGAACACAACTGCCGTTGTCCCAGGTCTGGTTATAGTCTAGTCTTCTTTTTGTTGAAGAAACTGGACACAGGTAATGCTTTGTCCTGTAGCCTTTTAATTGTGCTTCTGGATCTCAAGTTCTTTTAATTTACCATCATGTTCCTAAACTTTATGCCATGGTTTTACTAAGACTCATGCATTTGACAACGTGCATCTTCATTTTCATACAACACTAATTAGACAGAGGCAAGTGACGTCTTAAAGCCTAGAAAAAGCTAATTAGTTGTCTGTGTAAAACTAGTACATTTTGCAAATGTACAAAGTAAAATAATTTTCTAGAACGCAGCTCATACTTAGCCATTACTGCTGGCAGTGTGTTCGCAATAATTGCTTGTAGGCAAATATTTAGTAAAAACCAGTATGCAATATTGCCTGCAGGGCTATCGAGAGAATGTGAGACAGGCTGTTGATATGTATAATATAGGAAGCATTTTCTAAAGCCATTATCTCAGTAGAAAAAGTGCAAACTTACTAGTTTTCCTGAGTAAGTCATCCTGAATTCCCATGCAAATGCTTGAAAAGATGTCAGCAATAAATTTAAAATGTAAATTCGTTTTGGCAACTGTGTGCTAGAAATCAACAGTGAGTAGAGCTGACAATGACAGCCAAATGCAAAACCATCCTTAGTTATCAATACGCTTGCAATGTAACTTAATGTGACATTAAAATATTGTCATCATAGAAAGAGTCGTTGTTGTCGAAAAAAAAATAATTCTTGAAATTCATATTCGGAGATGATAGCTTGTCTGCTCAGAAAAGAAGCTTCAGCAATCCCTGAGGACTGAGGTAAGCAGCTGTGTCCAGGTACTTCACTTGACAAAACCCTTTCAATGGGAAAAATGTTTTTTATGCACAAGTAATTAAGTTGGCAGATGAAGCCGAGATGTGAGTGTGTCATAGCTAGCGCTGCCTAGTTTTAGTTTGTTTGCACAAAAAAACCTGAATGGTGTTGTGGTTTGCATCTTCTCACACAGGGCTTGGCACGGGACTGGCAAGACGATATCCAGAGTCAATCCATAATAGCTCATTAAGCCACAAGGATTCTCAAAATATCTACTTCATGAAACAGTTTTTTTTAAATAAAATACAATTCACGGGTAGTGTAGTACCAGGATGCTGAGATTTTGTCCTTGGAATGTAATGAACCACAATATTTTCAATTACCAACATGTGCAAATGAGTATGAGTATTATATCTTAATAGGAGAAAACAATGCAATTAATTTAATTCCACATGAATTAAATTACCTGCCTGATGCAGGTGCAAAAGAAAGATTTATTTTATATTAAAGGAGATATGTTAAAACTCAATCCACTAATTTTAAATCACACAGTTAAAACGAAAGGGCTAAATTAAGTAAACATACAGCCTTTCTCTGGGTCACTGTCAGTTAATGCCATACAGTGGACTAGGTTTTTTTTAATTTTCAGCTGAAGTACTTTCATCCAAAAAGTTAAAACATGGAAAGTGTATGAGAAAAATCATGGCTTTCCAAAGTATACTCATTTGATGTAACGAGTCACCGACTACAGAAACCTGAAGGAAATTTCCTGATGATTTATGCATTTCTCATAGGGTTATCTGGTACCGTTGTGTAGGGAATATTCCAAAGTGGTAATGAAAATAGCATTCGGTGTCTTTACTGACCTAATGGATCGGAAAACAAATAAATGAGCAGCAGGAACAGAAGAGGAAAAATGAATTAAAGGAACTGAGAGGCTTAGTTAATGAACCCCTGTTAGCAATAGGAAGAACCCACAGCTAGTTTTTATACGATTATGACCCAGCACCAGTGAATCTCCTGGGACTGCACTTAGCATCTGCTACTTCTCTTCTTTAGTGCTGGGGGTCTAGATGTATTTGTTGGCTCACAGATACAGCAAGTAAATGATACAGCCTGGTGCCAGGAAGTACACTGATAAAACTCCGTGGAGATTTTAACTCAAATTACACAAGAGGCTGATCTACTCGGCCTATCAGCAATCTCTGAGAAATTCAACTGTTTTTTTTTTTTTTGGGAGACAGAGATCTTGATTTCCTTTTTTTTTTCTCTTCCGATTGCTGTAATTTTACTGCAGCCTCATCCATACTGTACTGTATGTGCATTGAAAAAAACACAGAGCCTTGCCATTTTAAAATAAATCACCCTCCAAAAAAAAGCAGTGTTTTCAAAGTTTGTTGTCCTCAATCACATAATCACTGCTCTCTCTTATCCATCCATGCTGTATTTATTTGTAATAAGGTCTGGGCAGAGTGAAACAGGAAGTTTTTGGGAGAAAGCGCCATGTTATTGTTGAGGATCCATGAAAAAGGCTGTCCATCTGTCTTTACTCCCTATAGTATCAATATGAAGCTGCAGTTTTATATTGAGAGGTTTTCACACATACAGTACAGCTTATCTTACAACATGCCAAGCACAACAGAGAGCAGACATGAACACACCCGATCCTGTGCATTTTGGTAAAAGCCCCACTACTTTGATGTGATGAAGCTCCATGTTTTCATTAAATACAGAGCAAAATATAGAATTTTCAAGAAACAAAGAGGTCAGAGATCCAAAATCGAGAAATCATGCGTGGCACACATCCAAGTACAAGTACAATACAAGCTGTAACTGTGACAATGTGGCCGGGTGGATGAGACATGTTTAATTCACAAAACATACAGCTCCTGTAGAAGCTCTGCGACTGCAACATTGTGCACTTTGTTTTGTTTTACTTGTAGCATGGGGTTCTTTGTGTTCTTCGAAAGTCAGGAATACTGAAAACATTTTCTGCGTTTAACATCTACTGAAATCCCTTTACTCCAGCATGAAGCATGTGGAACCTCCAGTATTTCAGTAATAATGTAATGATGTGTCGTAGTCCAAGTCTTCCTGTACAGTACATGATTTCTAGCTAAGACATACTGTATTTCACACGGCCAGACGGTTCTGTTGTGAATACGCTCATATTGATCATCACAGCTAGAAGCCACCAAAGAGCTACAGTATCTGGCTCTGGGGACCTCCGTGTAGTCAGCTCAATTTAAATCACTTATCTCTCATTCAGTCTAAAATAGGGAATTACACTTCCTTTGAGAGAGACAGCGAGAAGTATTATTTTTGAGAGTTTTAATTTGCCACGTGTCTTCACAGTTGTCAAGGAAAATTTGGATTTATGCATCTCACAGGAGGAAGCGCCTCACAGTTTGTTGTAGTTCTAAAACATACTGTAAAGTGATTAAATTGAAACCAAGGTGTTTTCGCCACAGGAAAGGCGCTGTGGGAGTGCACAGGCATGAGGATGGGTTTGTGGTGGTGTTTGAGCACGGTGAAGCATGCTTGCACCTGCGAGATCCAACAAATCCAATTTAATGGAGCAGCAAATCATCACGAACTGCTGCCCTACAGCATAGAGCCCATTTGATCCAATCAGGCAGAAACCTTGACATCCTAATTTCTGAACTTTTCGTTCAAATAAGGACTACTGTGTTGAAAGAAAACACAAATTCTGTATTTGTCCCTGGTTTAGATTTCACACCACAGTTTTGTGCTTTCGACTTTTTCTCTTCTGTATTACCTAACATACACACCATTAGCAATGTCCTCACTCTTGCACTCTCAAATCATGGTCAATAGGGTTTAGGGGCTAATGTCTCAAAAACACAAGATAATAGATCTGCAAAACTAAAATAAACATCCACACGCAATTTTCGAGTTACTCCAAAGTAGGGCTATTTGTTCAGCAACAGCTTTACCCACTTCTTTAAATAAATGTCTTTGTGGGCACAGGTGACTTTAGGTTCCAGATTCCTCTTGATAATGATCACCACTCGATAAGAATGAAAGACAAGGGGCAGAATAAGAGTGGGGCTAATTTTTTAACCACTGTCCAGAAACAAGCAATGAGAGATTCAGCTCAGAAGTATAAAACGGCACGCATTTGGAGATTAACTTGTTTTCCCCACTCACTCCCTTTTGGAAAGCAACAACAGTCATTTATATTAATTTTTCATGGCCTCACAAAACAGATTCGCCACTTAAATTACAAGATGTATGAGATCCAGCACAATACCTTTGAGGCTTCTGGGCTTTCCACAATCCTGGGGAGGATGCATTTGAGTTCACAGCCAAACTCTGTGCGCACTCCTGCTCCGTCCTTCGCATGCAGAGTCGACAAGGCGCTCAGACAGCACGGGGGCGGCCGCCGCATGAAGACATCTTCCGGCCCGGGATGTGGTTCTTGTTAACACGATCCACCTGTCAGAAAGGTGAGTACAGATGAAAACCTCACCCAAGGCTCTTTTCAGGGAATGATGAACAAATGGAGATTTCCTGGGAAACTTCACACCATTAACATTCTTCTCTCTTGCTTTATTCCCATCTCTTTCACACGGGGGAACCTCATCACCAATGCAACAGAGCACAGTGAGCGAAAATAAGTAATATCTCTGAGGCCCAATTACAGGGCCCTGCTATATTGAAACAAGTGCTTCCCAATAACAGAGGAATCATCTAAGTGTTTTTTCATCAGACTTCTCTATAGCAGGCCATACTACCAGGTACAGATGTGTTTGTATCAGTACCTCTTTGCATTTAAAGAAGGAGAGGTTATTCATTCCGTCTTCAGGAACACTCTTCCAGCTTTTGCTCAAGAGATGTGTAACACTGACTGACTGGAAAATTGCTAATGTGGGGCAGACTAATAAAAAGGCAACACTAAACTGAATGATAAAAGACTTAGACTACAGTCACCACATGACTACAGACTATTGCGGGTTTTTTTTTCTGTTACACGTATTGCAAAAATGACCATTAAAATTATAAATAAATTACAGGATTATCTGTTTGGTAATTGGATACAATATGAAGGTCAGCATGAATTTATGGAAAGTAAACAGTATTTATGTGTTCAGAATGGTTTTGATAAATTCCACATTAAAGGTCAATTTTTAAAGTGCAGGTCATAGGTATTCAGTGTAATGTATCTCTTTGGAAGAACTGACTAATATATGTAATTAATGTAGTGACACAGGGGAATGTACTGGGACTGCTGTGCCTCCTAATTTACTATTAATGATCCATTCTGGTGTAGTTAGTAAACTCTTCAAATCTGAAGATGGTACCAAGCTAAAGGAAAAACTATAGAGGTTACGTAAAAAAAGAGAGCTCCAGACAGGCGACATTTAATGCAGACAAGTGAAAGGTATTAGAGTACATGCAGGTAGCAAAAATGAACAAGAGATATAAGATGGGCAACACTGATCCTGAAGGCGCTTGTTGACACATTTGTCAGTGCTGTATAATACAAAAGAACAATGCAAATGGCAAGTAGAATATTAAAACACAGTATGTAACAAAACTAAGCGTAAAATATAAATCAAGGAACAGAACTTTAAATTATTCATTTGACCTCCTTTACAATATTGTGCTTCCTGATGGTTGGCCACTGTGAGTAAAATAAAATTGTATGAAACATCCACCAGATGACACAGGTGTTGAAGTGCTTCACAGGTATCCTCCATCATCTAAGCCTAAAGTGCAGATAAGTTGGAATGCATGACCTTCCAGGTGTCCAAACAGGTAAAAACAGGACAGATTAAACTGCCAAGCTGATATTACTGCACTGATATCAGGAAGCATATTGTATCTGTAAGAGCCCTACTTTCAAAGGCTTTGTGCAGATGTCATGACTGCACCCTGAAGTTCTAAATCTTCAAAAAGTTTTTTCAAGCACACACACCCAAAAAAATCTAGTAGGCCCCAAATTGATTATCATTTCTCACAACAAACACTGTGTTTTATTACGTTTCGGGACATCAATTTCTAAAATATATTTTCAAGATACAACCTAACATCCCTTTTTCAAGCAATTCTGGTCTCTTCACTTCATAGTCCATTGAATATGTGAAATGAGGGTGCTGCCAATCTGTTGATGGCTTAAAAAAAAGTGATAGTATGTTTTTGTCAGGTACTTTTAAAATCTATTTTTTAATGCTTCATACAGTATTACTCTACTGTGGTGGTGTATTGCTTGTGTTTTGTTGGCTGCTGCATTCAATTAAAGTCACTGTTCCATTCAGTTCATGCGACAACTGTAGCTTGCTTAATGATGTCAATATACCCATTAGAAGATATAAGCAAAAAAGTAACAATATGTGATAAGAGACACTGAGCAGGAACTCTTTCAAGTGCCTATTTGGTAATTAAAGTATGACTGATGACTGGCATGGTGATTTGGCTTGTACAAGTATTGACTGTCTGGGCTCTTCAAAAGCCTCACCTTATTAATTCTAATGGCTGAGCTGTAGTGTGCATCCCCTTTAGTTTGCAGAGACATTCCATGTGTTTCAATTAACTTTAAAAGGTGTTGGGCGTTCAATAGTACTGTAATTCCTAGGAAACATGACTTGTACAATTGATTGTAAAAATACCAACACTATGTTCTATCAATGGGCTGATTTTCTAGAGAAATGCTAGACTAATACAAGCCAGCATTTAAGGACACCAGCTAAACATTTAATGTGCATCAGCATCATAGACATGTTTTCATGTTAAACCTCTCGTTGGATTAGAGCACTACAACTTGAACAAAACCCTTCACATGCCACTCTTACTTAAACCAGGTTTACTGCCCTATAGTTCCCTTTATGTTGTTGTAATAAATGACAATAAAAGCAAATTTATGCATCCGTCTACATCATTAGGAAGAGAGAACATTTGATCTCCAAAAACTACACTTTAATTGCTTGATTTAAATTCAGTCACCGAAATGCATAATAAACTGTACCATTTTAATTAGGCTAATTTATAACTACAATAGAATATTAGAAAGGCAATAGCATGAATTATTTACCTGCACATTAAACATGACTGTATATTGCTAAGTGATAATATGATTGCGCAGTAGATATAAAAATAATTTCATTAATATATTCAAAAGCTGCTGGTACCTACTTAATTTTACTCTGTGGAATTACAATTAGACATAATACCCACACAATTATTACCATGCTTCCTTACAAAATGCTCTTTTTAGAACATGCTGAGTAACTCTCAAGGAGACATGCAACAGGACTTGATGTCTTGACCATTAAAGTTCTATAAGGCTTCATTGAGATAACCTACAGTATAATCAATTAAACTAAGCCTAATTCAGTGATGTGACATTAAGCAAGTTGTCTAGAGATTACCTTTTTGTGTAAGTTTACTTTGCTAATTTGATCATGGTTATACAGTGCCCTGCATGAGTAGGAGGGCAGCAAAGCCACCATTTTAATTTTTGCTTTGCAGTCAAGCATTTTGTAGAGTAGATCTTAGTGGAAACTATTGTACAGGGACGTGCATTTCAAACTAGGAACAGGAGGCACTTGCCCATAGGATTATGAGAGTGTGGAACATGCTTCCCAGGAGGGAAGTTTATGCACAATGGCCTCTTCTGGTTTGGAAACCAAACCCTGAAATAGCTCCTGACCTGACCCAGGCTTGCACAGTCCCCTATCAGGATTGAGTGACCTTACAGGCTGAGACACTTGGAAGCCCTGATTTAAGTTAATTGGAACATTAATGTTTTCACTGGCACACCTGTCAGCCACTCCCCAACAAAGTGTTAACAACTGGTTGTTTTAAACGGTACTAAAGTCACATTTGCACAAAACACCTGAGTCCATGCAGTCACACCAAGGTACATACTGTACCTACAATCGGATATTGCTGTCCATTTGCATTTTAAAAAGTTTAGACTTTTAAAATTAACCTGCTTCATGCTTCAGAAGATACTATGTTCTTGGTAGCACGTGAAACGCCGATAACAGAAACCTGTTCAATTTAAATGAGTGGTCAAATGCCTTTATGTATCACCAGAATATAAAAGAAGAATTAAAATAGAACATACTGTAAAAACTAGAATTGAAGTCAAAGAACAGAGGGTTTTAGAAGATGAATCTCCATATTTGCACAGAAAAGCAGAAAATAAAGTTTCTAGTTCCATTAGGAAAAATGTGATCCACCAGCAACAATTTTTTGAGTAGAAACATGAGTCATTTTTTTATTAGAGACGTGGCCTTGAATGACCATGAGAGCAAACTTTTCACATAATATGTTCTACAACAGTGATAAAAACAGTGTAGAAGTCAGGTTCATGAGATGCAAAGAAAAAATATGTAGCTTTGTCACCAGGGGAACTGTATAGTATATATACTTCAATGAAAGGAGTGAAGCAAATTTAATGAGCATTGAGATATTGCAACTGTGTGTTCTTTGTGCTTGTGTTTTGCTAAATGATATTGAATTTCTTTTGGATGAGGGTCAACTCTGCTGAACTAGGGAAACTCTGGACTTTAAGGTTAAGAACCCTGGTGACAAACATTGTATTCAATATTCTGATTTCTTTCTTAACTCACAACAGAAGTCTGCAATTACTTACATTATTATTATTATTATTATTATTATTATTATTATTATTTACATTATAAAACGGTGGGAGGGGGAATCTAACATACAGTACAAACCAGAACTTCCATTAATTCAAATTTGACCACTTCCTAGGCACTGCATGTGACTCCAGTGCGGAGACAGAGCGGAGTGCAGTAAGCCTCTGATGATTTGATTGTCTTTACTCTTGAAAATGATTACAGCGGAGAGTGACGATATTGCTTCTCAGACAATTTCCAATTACAGATTTTAATCTTCCGAGGGTGAAGTGCAAAAACACAGCAATTCAAAGCAGGGACAGCAAATTATGTGATGGAAAAATATCAATTTGTTGATTAAAAAACAAAGCCAGCTGGATAGTATGAGCAGGAATTGGGCAATTATGCACTTGACCTTTAAACCTCTGGCTTTGATATCCAAAAATGTCCTTCCCTTCCTTTTCTGGATAAATATTACTGCCTTGAGGAACAATGAAATGTTACATCTATATTTTTTCTTTCTTCTTCTTTTCTATATTGCAGCTCACTGCTGCTTTCCAGAACTGAATTGAGAGATATTAAACTTTGGTCCCCTCAAGCCACAATATACCACTGCTACGTCAGAACTCTACCTGTTAATGCATTCAGTGTGCCGTTAGAGACATTTAAACAAGACATAAATTAGATAAGGAACATTATGAGATAGTGAGTTCCTAAAAAATTTGAAACATGCATTTGACTGGACTGCACATTTGTCTCTTGGTTTAGCAGAAGTGATATCCAATGGCTTAACTCTGCTGTAGATGCTGACATTCCCTTCATGGTGTGATCTACAATGAGAACAACCTC